CCCTACACTCACCCCACAGGGCTCATACAGGAAAACCGGGAGCCCAGAGCACCGAGACCACAAAGACAGCTACATGAGGATCTAGGAGTGTCCGAGCCAGACTGCAGGTAGGTGTGGTTATGATGTGGCGAGGGCCACTATGGGAGCAGCACTCCAGGCTCTTTCTTCTGGAGAGTAAGGCTAGGGGCAGGGACAGGGTCAGAGAAACCAGGATCTGGCCCCCCGGAGCAGCGGGTGTGGGGAAAGAGGCAGGGGCGGGGGAGCCTGCGATGGCAGGCCAATGAGCACACGCGGAGAAGGCCGGCCCACCCCACAAGGGCGCCCCCAGGGCTGGGACCCGGAGGGCCTTACCACCCCCTGGCGGCCGCTCTGCGCGGTGTCGAAGCGCTTCGCCCACCCGTCGCAAGGTCCTGAGACTGCGTCCCTCTCTCGCGATGCCGCGCCGCGGAGTCGCCTGAGTCGACGGTTGAGACCCCATAATCTCCCTCTGCCCTTCGCCCACCCCTCTCAGGCTCTCGAGATCAGACCCTGCTCACCTGCCCCGCCCTGTGCAGCATGCGGCCTAAGGGCCTCGAGGGTCTCAGCCTGCTCGGCTGGCGGCCTCTGCTGCGTCTGCTGCTTCTGCTGTCTCTGCTGCCGCGGCCGGTGACCCGCGCCCAAACTACGCCCGGCGCCTCCAGCACTCCGACGGTGCTGGGCACCCCCAGTGCCCCGACTACGCCAGGTGCCCTTAGCGACCCGACTCAGCCAGGCACCCCTAGCTCCCCAACCGCACCGAGAGGCCCCAGCGCCCCGAGTCTGCAGGAGCTTGCGAGGACCCTGATGCAGGACTTCCCGCTTGTGGACGGGTGCGTAGGTGCTAGGTGGGGGAACAGATGAGGCCGAGCTCACCCCTAGACTGGGGAGGGGGTCCTGAGCATGTACTGCTAATGAAGAGGTTCCCTCTCACCACCCCTGTGTGCCCTTTCCCCTCATGCCCTTTCCCTTCCTCTGTCACCCCCTCCTTGGTAGAGAATACCCTAGCCCCACTGGGTCCTAGTATAGTCTGTGTGATAGTGTGGGGTGGGGGAACCCCTCCTCCCACCTCCGCTGGCCCTGGCCTGGGAACATGTCCCCAGGCCTAAAGGAGTCTACCCATTTGCCCCTGACCTGACCCTGCCTTAACCTCCTTCCAGCCACAATGACATGCCCCTGGTCCTGAGGCAGTTTTACCGCAATGGGCTACAGGATGTTAATCTGCGCAATTTCAGCCACGGCCAGACCAACCTGGACAGACTTAGAGATGGTCTTGTGGGTGCCCAGGTACCACAGGGACACATGAGGCGTCACTGGCTGCTGGGGAATGTGGGGGGTATGGGGGCCCTAAACACCACAACAAGTTAGTCACATGGGAACTCAGTTACTATAGTGATCCAAAAAGTGCCATGACATGCATGCTGGGGAATGCAGGGGCCATAGTGAGCCAGTTTGGTGGGCATCCAGGTGCCACAAAACAAGTATGTGACCCCTGGGCCCAAGGGGTGCTGTGCGCGATGTGGAGGCCATGAAAGGTGGACCTCTAAAGCCACCCCTGCCCAAGCCAACCCCCGGCCTCCCCCCAGTTCTGGTCAGCCTACATCCCGTGCCAGACCCAGGAAAGGGATGCCGTGCGCCTGACCCTGGAGCAAATTGACCTCATTCACCGTATGTGTGTCTCCTATTCTGAGATGGAGCTTGTGACTTCGGTTAAAGGTAGGCAGGTTGGTGGGGGTTGGGTGGGTGGATGGTATTAGGGACTTAATTGAGCTACCTCAGCTCCTGAAAGTGATCACCTGAACTTTCTGCCCCCAGCTCTGAACAGTAGCCGGAAGTTGGCTTGCCTCATTGGTGTGGAGGGTGGCCACTCACTGGACAGTAGCCTCTCTGTCTTGCGTACCTTCTATTTGCTGGGTGTGCGCTACTTGACACTCACTCACACCTGCAACACGCCCTGGTAAGCACAGTGCAGATGGTATGGGCCCACTGAGGCAGAGATCTGCTCAAGATCACACTGGGGCCCAGACCATGCTTTACCCCTGGGATCTGCCACTGACCCTGGAGTGGGGAGGGGAGTTGGGTTCACAGATCAAAACTGGATCCCCAGTGGGACCTTCCTACTGCCAAGCACTGCCCAGCTTGGGTTCTTGCTCTTGCTCTGGGGGGTTGTAGGGTTAGAGGGTTTGATAGGGCCTCTAGGCTCTTGTGGCCAAATCATGGCCACCAGTCAGACTGCCTCTTGGCCATCCTGCAGGGCAGAGAGCTCAGCCAAGGGCATCCACTCCTTCTACAACAACGTCACTGGGCTGACCAGCTTTGGTGAGGTGAGGACCCTGGTTCCATACCCTGCCCCACATGCATGTATACACCCTACCTGTTCTCTATAAATAAGTGCACATACATGTGCACCCCTAATGCCTCTCCCCTGTCCTCCCCTCGCTCCTATCTCTGCAGAAGGTAGTGATTGAAATGAACCGCCTGGGCATGATGGTAGACTTGTCCCATGTCTCAGATGACACGGCACGGCGGGCCTTGGCAGTATCACAGGCACCTGTGATCTTCTCCCACTCAGCTGCCCGAGGGGTGTGCAAGAATGCACGGAATGTTCCTGATGATATTCTGCAGCTTTTGGTGAGAGACTGCCCGGCTCTTGAACCTGAAGCAAGAGGTTTAAACCAGGAGCCCTCAAACCTAAGCCCCAGCTCCCTCAAATTCCTTAAACCCCAAGCTGAACTTCTACCCCACAAACCCACAGTCCACAACCCCTGAACCTTGAACTCAAGTTGGAGTTCTAGGTGGTAAATACTCCTCTAAACCTTCAAACCCAGGGCCAAGACACCACCCAAACTAGGGCTGAGACTCCTCCATTCACACAAACCAGCAAGGTGAAGTCTCCTCTGACTCAAAGCCAGGACTAAACGCCTTCCTCACAGGGGCCCAGTGGGTGAACAGGCAGGTAGCTGTGCTGGGGGGCCAAGTTGAGTATCCATTTGTCCATCCCTGCAGAAGAAGAATGGTGGCATCATGATGGTGTCCTTCTCTGCGGGGGTGCTGCAGTGCAACCTTTTAGCCAATGTCTCCACTGTGGCAGGTAAGGCCCGCCCTAGACTCTGAACAGCTCTAATTTGGACCTGAATCTTTGAAGGGTGTTGGACCTCAGAACAGCCCCAGTGGTTTGACCCACCCTTTGGCAGTAGGCATAGCTCCCAAAAACCCCAAAATGGACAGTACACAGCACCTGGGTGCCACGTGGAACTGGAACCAGAGTGGATAATCAAATACTGATGGGTATAAGGGAGGCAGTCAGATCTAAAGCTTGAGTGCCGACCACTTGTGCCTCTGCAGGGGCTCCCAAAGTGCCCTGCCCTTGCCTCTGGCCAAGAGACTTGACAGCCCCTTAGATCTCTGTGGTCTTTGTCAGTTGTACTCTTTGTCCTCTCTTCGTCCCATCCTCCGCGCACATGGAAAGGAGCCCCCACTGGTTCTCAAGGAGACTCAAGACAGGGAGAATCCTGATGTGAAATGGACCAAACTCATGGCTCTGGGGTCCATTTCAAATATGAAGTCCAAAAAAAAGAAAAATGAAGTCCATTTTAGAGCCAGCTGGGGTCACTTCTGGTCAAAGCTCAGGGCCCTCAAGTTGGCACAGTGGGTGCCAGTCCATGAAGGAATTGGCCTGCATGACCTACAGACTACAAGAAGGGGAATCAGCAGAACCCAGTCCCCACCCCCCATCCCTGCCCTAGAAGCCCCACATCGCTGACTCTCCATCCCTCAGATCACTTCGACCACATCAGGGCAGTCATTGGATCCAAGTTCATCGGAATTGGTGGAGATTATGATGGGGCCAGCCGGTGAGTGCTTCCCTCTGGCTTGTCTGGGCCTGGCTGTGCAGCAGTGGGGCCTTCATAGTCACCATGCCCACTACAGCATGGTCCTTGTGGTTGTTAGGCCTGGACCACAACCTCAGGTCTGCTGGCCCACCTGGCATCTCCCCTCTCCCAGGGTCTGTTTTCTGGGCTTTTCTGTCTGTCTTTGGTCCATTTGGTCCCCCTCTAAGTCATCATATTTGGCTAAGCCACCAGACAGAGCTCATCTCCCCAGCATGTGTACCTACCCCTTTCGCCACAGACCCTCTGTCTCTAAGCAGACTCTTAGCAAGGCCTGGAATGAGAGGATCTTCTCTGCTTGAAGCTGGGTCTGTGCATGCAGGGGTTCAACCCAGTTCTTAAGTTTTTCTTCTTTTTATATATGGAGGAAAAATTTGCATTCAGTGAAAGGCATAGATCTTAATTGTGCCGTTCAAATGAGTTTTGATAAATATTCAAAGAGGTTTGGGAGTCTCCTTCTAAAGGATGAAGAGCAGGGGTGAATATTTACTCTCTCCAAGTCTCCATTTCCCATATTTGACCAAGGCTGGGGTTCCGTGGACCCTGAACACATAGGGCTGTGGTTCTGAGTCAGGACCAGAGAACAGGTCTGGGGCCCAATATCTGGTTGTCTGATGGCCACACAGGTTCCCCCAGGGTCTGGAGGACGTGTCCACATACCCGGTACTAATAGAAGAGTTGCTGAGACGTGGCTGGAGTGAGGAGGAGCTCCAGGGCGTCCTTCGTGGAAATCTGCTGCGGGTCTTCGAACAAGTAGAACAGGTATGCGGGGCTGGGCAAAAGAGTATCTCAGGAGTCTGAGCAGGTGTGTTGAGGGAAGCTGTGGGAGCTGCTGACCACCAACTTCTGCCTCCAGGTACGGGAGAAAAACAAGGGGCAAAGGCCCTTGGAGGATGAGTTCCCGGATGAGCAGCTAGGCAGCTCTTGCCGCTCTGTCCTCTCACGCCTGCATCAGAGACAGTTTATGCCTCCAGACCAGAAACTAACTGAGACTTCGACACATTGGACACCCAAGATGTCACCTAAGGAGTCATTCTCAAAATCCTCCCCCCACATGGTCCCAAGCCTCACAGTTTCTGCTTCCTTCCCAGTCCTCATTCTGTGGCTCTTGCAACCCCATTAATCCTGCCAGATGTCACTTTGGCAGCCGTGGACACCCCACAAAATTCCCCTGTTGTGCAGGCACAAACATTTCCTAAAAATAAATATTTTAGACTGGAACCAGGCATGAGTGTCCTCTGTGGTGGGGTCTGGTGGCATAGGTTCCCAATGCTGGTCACTGGTAGGGCATCCTGCAGTTCAGCCACAAGTTACTCAAGGAAGACCTGTTGGCAGGGGCCTGAGGAAACCCACCCAGGTGATTGGGCACCACAAGGAGAGAGTGGGTGGCTTTGGCTACAAGAGGGTGGACCCTACTCTGGGTTCTCTCTGAGTAGCTCACCTCAATCCCCATCCTGACCCTCTGTCCACCACCTGGGGATCTTTCAGGGAATTCTGATTCAAATTCCCAAGTAGGGAACCTGCTTGGATCACAAATGATCTTTTTCCTATTTGGACAGAGCTCAGAGTGTCAGGCCACATAATGGGCCACGGGCCTCAATGTTGGACTGCCCTGGATGTGGGCCCATCCCTCACCTACCCCTCAGGGATTTCCTCTCTGTGAGGCACAGGATACTTAGATAACCACCCCATCTTACCCCTAGGCCATTAATGATAACAATAACTGCACTAATAATAGCCAAAATTAAGAGTTAATACAGTGTTAATAATGACAGCTAATCATAAATAACATGATAACAATAAATAATGGCTAATAAAAATAGTAATACTAATAGTCTATGCATAGCCCATGACTGAGCAATTTCACCCCAGGTATATATCTAAGAAGAGTGTATACATACATTTCCCAAAAGGTATATGAAATAATATTTATAGCAGGACTATTCATAATAATCCCAAACTATGTACTTCAAAGTCAAAAAAAAAAAACAAAAACAAGGAGCCAAAGACAAAAGGTTATCGTGAAAGCAGTCATATTTTGAAAATTCACATTAACTTGAGGAACAACAGTAAAATTGACAACTGAATTTTCAACAGAAATAATGGGAATCTACACAGTGGAATATCTTTAACCTGATGAGTGAAAGTAACTACCAATGTTGAATTCTGTGCACAGTGAAAATATTCTTCAAAAATGAAGGAAAACAAATGCATTTCAGACTAATAAAAGCAGAGAGAGAAATCGGAAATATACAAATCTCCTAATAAGAATATCAGTTATTATAGGAAAAGTGCATATCTAGTATAAATTAAAGACGTTATAAGTACCCTAATTTCATATTTGAAATGGAGGTATTAACATTTAAACAAAATATCTTCAGATTTTGAATTTTGAACTGAAGAAAATTTATGTTCTAGAAATACATTTGATTTGGCAAAAGTAGCCATGGACTTGGCTCTTACTTATTCTGAAATTTCATGTCCTGTAGAAATTCCATCTGAAGTTGTTTTAAAAAACATGCAATATTGATGCTTTGTATTATAAAATCAGCATTCTGTTTGGATCTTCTGAAATGATTCATATTTTGCTTAGTAGAATCTTATCCAAATTTAGAAGTAACCTTGAAAAAAAACTTTACCTATACCAGTCACAGTAGCATCCTTTAAGCGAAGTTTCGGTAAGCTGCAGTTATTTAAAAATTATTTGGTCAAGAGAAATTGTCAAACATGCAATCTCGCAACAGAAAGTGAGCTAAGCAAAGAAGTAGGTTTGAAAATATTATTCATGAGTTTGCTTCATTAAAGCCAGGAAAGTACAATTATAATTTTGGTGTGGATATAAATAAAATTATGGAAATGTAAAATAATGTTGTGAGTTTTAGTATACCTTTTTTTTCAGTTCTTTAACATTTTCAACTATTTTAATGTTCTGGAAAGGTTAACTATTAAAAATATATTAAAAATAAAACAAAAAATACATTAAAATTGTACATCAGAGTACACATTTTTCCTCTTGCTTCAGGCTCCATATTGGTGGGTTCAGCACTGTTACTCAGAAAGTTTTAATAGTGCTTTGTATTTGTTTCACCTCTTCTCTCCTTTCTTCACTCCTTTTGGATCAACTGAGTAGTGCTCTGAGATCACCTTACTTGTCTGTCTCCGTTTTTCTCCCTTTTATGGCTCACAGGGCTTTAAAACATCACAATCAATGGTATCTTCCCAAACAACCCAGATCATGTTCTCTGCTGCCTTTCAAGGTGAGCTGATTCAGTTCAGAGTCCATTTAGGAAAATATGGGAAGAAGTGAGAGTTACTATAAGATAGAAGCTTAGAGGAGGGCCCTGTATAGTTGGGGCTCAAACTTCTGAGATGAGGCTGTACTCAGCTGGTGCAGGTGTTCTAAATGGGCATGGCAAGGCTACTCTGTCACAGCCAGAAGTTGGAGACTACAGCCAATTGCCACTGCTAGAGCAGCAGTGACAGGAACAGAAAAAAACATTTCTGTTTTCTCCTCCTGCCTTTCAGTTTCCCTTGAGTCCCAGCTCCACAGAGCAGAGAACAGGAGGCTGGATCTGGAGTTGAGAGACAATTCTTAATAACCAGGATTCCTCCAGGCCTGATTCACTTTCTCCTAGGGTGTATTCTTTTGTATTCCAACTCAAAACTAAGGGCCCATCAGGTTTCTCCTGACCTTGGTGGACCCTGGAAGCTAATCTGTCTCAGCCCTACAATGCCCCTAGTGGAAGAAACAGTCTAAAACCTGGGCCCATCTCTGGGTTTCTTCTATTCTCCCTGGATCCTGGACAAGTAATTTTTTAGTATTTTAACTCCCTGGTGCCTTGAGAAGATCCTTTTTATATTTTGCCCAACTTTTCTTGTTGTTGTCAGGAGGACTGTAACTTTGATTTACTTAACCAAACCAGACATTTGGAACTGTTTATGTATTAAAGTGATAACATTTTAAAATTTTATTATAAACATTAGGCCCTCTCCTTTCACCTAAGATTAATATAGGAAACAGCTGTATATACAATGCTTTCACACTTTTGATAAACTGTCAGTAAAGTAATCATTCATTATGTTGTTTAATGTCTCTTAAACGAAAACCTCCATGGCAGGTCAGCAAAGTACATGAGACGCCAGAAAAAAACAAATTCTCTCATTCTCTCTCCCTCTCTCCCCGCTCCTCCTTTCTGAGAGAGCCAAAGTTAGAGGTAGCTGAGTCAGACTTGGTCTGTAACACCATGAGGAGGGGGCAGAGATGGATGGGGGCAGTGGTCACCAGAGGCCAAGGCCTTTCTCCTGGTGCCCAGAGGGAAGGCCTACTTATCACAGAGCCCAGGTGGGAGAACAGGAGACAGATGCAGATGTAAAAGGGGTGACAACTCGGATTTCAGTCTATGCTGTTGGCCCTTCTCAGCCTGGCAGAACCTGATGCAGGTCCAGGAGGCTCAGATGCTACCTGAATGCAGTTCTGAGGTCAGTTCCCCCTAAACCAGGGCTTTTTCTGAAGAAAACAATAAATTATACTGTCCAGGCCTCTGGCCAGCCTGAAAACTCTCTTATTTTGAAGGATTTCCGCCCCAGGTGAAGTCATGTATCAGACGAAGCTCCCCATGCTCTTAGCACCAAGAGCTCCAACCTCATCTTGTCCCCCTCTGCCTTCAAGGATCTTCCAGTTCCTTCCCACAGCACAGTCATCCTGCCCAAATCAGGACGACTGGGCTACTGGCCAACCTGGGATGCCCTCTCTACTCCCCTGGCCTGACATCCTTTTAAGGCTCAGCCACTGCTCTGGTGCCTCCACTAAACTCTTACCACCCTGGCCAGTTCTCACTGGCACTATCCATGGATTCCCTCAGCCAAGATAACCATATTACATGGAAAGTAAATAAAGTGACTAGGGAGCAGGTAATCCCCTTCCCAAGATGGCTACTATTAACTGTTTAGTATGTGAACTCCTCTAGAGTCTTTTTAACATATGTACAGACACAAATTTCAATACTAGATGCTAAAACAAAATGGTCTCCCCTAAATATTGTTCTTAAATTTCATTTTTATTATATAGGTCGGGAATCTTTTTTCTGTCAGTCAAAACAGATCTAATTCACTCTTCTGAGCTGGGGCTTAGAATTTCATAGAATAATTTCATAGAATTTCATTGAAGGTCCCCGCGTGCTCGGCCGGCGGCCTGTTGGAGGGTGAAGCACAGCCCTGCAGCTCAAAGCCCACATAGACCTGAGACTTGTCTGGTTAGCGGTGAGATTAGGAACATTCCTGGGCCTCAGTTGCCCCACTGGCCTCCCCTAGTCTGTTGTTGGTTTAGGAAGCCCGGAAGAGCCGTGGATGCAGGGCCAGGAGCAGGGGCGGAGGGAGACAGCGATGGGTCGCTAGAGGGCGCTCGCGGCAGAGGCCAGCCTGGCCCATCCGGGAGCCCTCCTAGTTGGGGGAGCGAGGGCCGTGCCGCCCCCTGGTGGCGGTGTTGCGGATGCCCAGGCGCCTGTCGCCACGTCCTGATTCCTCTCCTCTCGAGGCCGTGCTGCTGAGTCACCTAAATCGACGGTCGGGACCCCATTGTCGCCCTCTGCTCCTCTGCGCTTCTCCTGCCCTTCTCGGGCTCTCGAGACCAGCCCCTGCCCGCCTGCATGGCCCTGCGAGGCATGCAGCCCACGGGCCTTGAAGGTCCCCACGTGCTCGGCCTGCGGCCTCTGCTGCGTCTGCTGCTTCTGCTGTGGCTGCTACCGTGGCCCATAACCCGCACCCAGGCCGTGCCTGGCGCCTCCAGCGCCCCGACAGTGCTGGGACCCACCAGAGCCCCGACCAGGCCAGGCACCCCCAGCGTCCGGAGTACGCGGGAGCGCGTGCAGGCCCTGATGCGGGACTTCCCGCTCGTGGATGGGTGCGTAGACGCGGTGTGGGGACCAGAGGGGGCTGAGCTCACCCTTAGGCAGGGCAGGGGTTCCTGAGCATGCGAGGCTAGTGAGGAGGCTCCTTCACACCACACCTGGATACACTCTCTCCACCGTCACCCATGGGCTCCCTTCCCCCATTATTACTCCGTTCCTGGTGGAACAATGCCCCCCAAGCTGAACCTCTGGAGGTCTCCATGTTGTCTGCGTGAGGTGGGGAGGAGAGGTGGGACAGGATAGGCCCAGGCATGTCGACATGTCCTGCCTGACCTGGAAGCCATGTCCCCACTCTAACCTTGCCTTGACTCCCTCAGCCACAACCACCTGCCCCTGCTCCTGAAACAGCTTTTCCAGAACAGGCTGCAAGATGTTAACCTACGCAACTTCAGTCGTGGCCAGACCAGCCTGGACAAGCTTAGGGATGGCCTCGTGGGTGCCCAGGTACCTCAGACACAGGGTGCCACAGAATGATTGCTGGGGTATTTGAGGGCCACAGAAACCTGGGTAGGCAGTCCTCTGGGTTACTAGGTATCATAGGACACACAGCGTGCCATCATGTGGTTGCTGGGGAGTGTGGGGGCATTGGAGGCCAAGACAGGCCAGCCACATGGGTGCCTAGGTTCTGTGGAGACACACAAAAATTGGCCAGAAAAATCCCTGGTGAGTGTGGGAGATGCTAAAACCACAAAGGACCTGGTGGATTGGCCTTGGGGCATTCACATAGCACATAGACAAACAGCAGGCAATGATGATATGTCATGAGTCCACAGTTTGGCTGCTGGCAGCAAATTGAATAGTCATCAAGGTACCATGGGGTCATGCAGTGCTTCACTTGGGTCACTGACCCAAATGAGTACCTTGGGGGCTAAGGAAGAGTGGCAGGCCAAGTGCGTCAGAGACCACCCTGATCTCATTATGGACCCCCGGGCCTACCCTAGTTCTGGTCAGCCTACACCCCATGCCAGTCCCAGGACCAGGATGCTGTGCGCCTCACACTGGAGCAGATTGACCTCATTCATCGCATGTGTGCCTCCTACTCTGAACTGGAGCTTGTGACCTCAGCCAAAGGTGGGCTGGCAAATGGGAGAATAGTCAGGGGCGCTCTCTGGTGGTTCTGGCTCTAAGCCCTGACCACTTGGTTATCCATCCTCTTCTAGGTCTGAACAGCACTCAAAAGCTGGCCTGCCTCATTGGTGTGGAAGGTGGTCACTCACTGGACAGCAGCCTCTCTGTGCTGCGCAGTTTCTATCTGCTGGGAGTACGCTACCTAACACTCACCTTCACCTGCAGCACGCCCTGGTGAGCATAGTGCCTGGCCAGGGTGGAATGGTAGATGGCATGGTGGGGAAACTGCCAGAGAGCTGAGGACAGAGGAGTCCACAGAAGGAGACTGGCTACCAGCAGGTCTCTCACACTCCCAGAAAGCAGCTGGCCCAGGTTCTTACTCTGTTCTGGAGGAACGGTGGATGGACAAACAGGGGGACTGCAGAGCCCCCAGGCTTTGATGACCCACTAGATTGCCCTCCTCTGCTGTCCTGCAGGGCAGAGAGCTCCACCAAGTATAGACACCACTTCTACATCAACGTCAGCGGGTTGACAAGCTTTGGTGAGGTAGGACTCCTGTTCCCTTTCCTAACCCAGCCGTTCCCTACAGATATATGCACACATGTGCATCCCTGACACTCTCCCCTGCCAAAAAAACAAACAAACAAAAACAAAAATAAACAACAACAACAACTGTCCCTGCAGAAGGTGGTAGGGGAAATGAACCGCCTGGGCATGATGGTGGACTTGTCCCATGCATCGGATGCCTTGGTGCGGCGAGCTCTGAAGGTGTCGAAGGCTCCTGTGATCTTCTCCCACTCAGCTGCCAGGGCTGTTTGCGACAGTTTGCTGAATGTTCCCGATGACATCCTGCAACTTGTGGTGAGCGGCCACCCCAGCCCTCAAACCTAGGACTAGGCATGCTTCATACAGATTCTTGACCTTGAACAAAGTTACCGTCCCAGGCCCCAATTACCCTTGGACCCAAGGCTGGTTAACCTTCCTTCATCTCTGAAACTCAAGGCCAAATCAGTTCTACCCAGGGACCCACAAACTGAGAGGTGAGGGGTCTTCTAACCCCTGAAGCCAAGACTGAGCACTGTCCTACCAGGGACCCCAGGCCAGAAGGGCCAAGGTGAGTATCCATTTGTTTATCCCTATAGAAGAAGAATGGTGGCATTGTGATGGTGACGCTGTCTATAGGGGTGCTGCAGTGCAACCTGTTTGCTAATGTGTCCACTGTGGCAGGTAAGCCCCACTTCAACTCCTTGTGCAGTTCAAACTTGGGCTTGTGGCCATCAGGACCCTCAGGACAACTCCAGCAGTCTAACACACCTGCTGGGCAATGGGCAGACCTCCCAACAACCCAGGAGAGTAGACACAGCCCTTCACTGCCACCCAGATCTGGGCCCATAGTCAATGCTGATGGGTTTGGGGAGGCAATTGCCTCTGCCTCTGAGTCTCACTTTTATTCCCACATCTCTGGATAGGACAGGCAGATCCCTGACTAGGCTTTCAAGGAGAGGTGGCTCCTGGGCAGGAAAATGTCCAAAGGGGCTGCTCTGAGGTCCACTCTGGGTCCAGTGTCCAGCCTGTAGCCACTTCAGAACTCACAACTGGCCAGGAGCTCTGTGGAGTCAGCTGCCATAGCCTGGAGTGCTGTGGCCAGGGGAATTAACCAGGGCTGAGCTTTCCCAGACCAGGGCTAATCCTAGGATCTGACTCCAGCCCAGTGCTGTCCGTCACTAACCTCCACCCTCTAGATCACTTTGACCACATCAGGGCAGTCATTGGATCTGAATTCATCGGGATTGGCGGAAATTATGATGGGTCTGGCCGGTGAGTATTTCCCTGGGGTTTTTCTTAGGCTGGGTATAGCAGGAAGTTCTAATTCCCCATCCTGTGGTCCTCGAATCCTTCAAGCCTCAACCATAAGCTTTTGTCTTCCAGCCCACTTGAGATCTCCTGACACCCAGGGCCTGTTTCCTGAGCTCTCCCTGTCCCTTCTGTGGCCTCCTGAACTCACTGCCAGTCTAGGTCATCACCCTCATTAAGTACTCCCCTCCCCCAGGTAGATCTCATCTGCCCAGCACAACCTCCACTCCCAGCCCAGCAGATGTGTTGTGGGCTGATCATCTGCTCAGCAGGTAGATGCTGCAAAAGCCCAATCTTTAAGGAGCTTCCAAAGTTGCATTCAGTAACCTGAAAAACATGGCCTTCACCTTCCCATATGTGATTTGAGGTTGGTAAGATAATGGTCCTAGACCAAGATCAGGGCTGAGGTCCCACAGAACTGGCTGGTGGTCACACAGGTTCCCCCAGGGGCTGTCGGACGTGTCCACATACCCGGTACTAATAGAAGAGTTGCTGAGACGTGGCTGGAGTGAGGAGGAGCTCCAGGGCGTCCTTCGTGGAAATCTACTGCGGGTCTTCGGACAAGTGGAACAGGTATTATGCTGGGTTGGGCACAAGGGTGGTTCAGTTGTTTGAGCAGGTGAGGTGGGTGCTGCGGGGGCCACTGACTGCTCACTCCCATCACCAGGTGAGAGATGAAAACCGTGGTCAGAGCCCTTCAGAGGATGAGTTTCCAGACAGGCAGGTGGGCAGGTCCTGCCACTCTCACCTCCTGTCCCAGCCTCACAGAGAACACCTGGCCACACACCTGGAGATGACCAAGTGGCCAACCAATCATGTTCTCCAAAGGCCTTCGAAAGCCTCCCCACACCTTGTTCTAAGCCTTGAGGCTTCTGCCATCTTCTCAGTTCTCATCCTGTGGCTCTGGTGACCTGGCCAGTTCCCCAGAGGTCACCTCAGCGAAGTCTCAGAAAGTCCCCCTCCTAGTCATTTGGGCACAAGCATATGCTAAGAATAAACATTTTGGGCATGGAGCCAGGTGTGAATGTTCTTCCTTTTTCACATGTGGAGAGGGTAGAGGATGTAGTCCCGTAGGTTCTTGGATGGTAAGGGGTCTTGTGATTTAGCTCTAGCTGCTCAAGGTGAGTGGTTTCCATTGGCCTCCAGCTTTGTCTCATCTCAGGAAGGCAGAGGCATCTTACCGTATTCACTGCTAAAAGCCTGATCCCACAGAACACAAAGAAATAGAGTTCAGAGTTTATTGACCCCGTAATGGAGTAGGACAGTGGGTGCATCCCCAATCTCTCGCTGAATAATTTAAATTTGTTTTTTTAAGAAGCTGATACCATTTATAAAATAAATAGTAACTTGTTTGATAATAGCAAAAGGAAGTTTGTAAAGATTTTAGATTTTTCAGATAAGGTCCTCTGATTTTTTTTTAACTGTTTAATGGAAGGGGAAAATCAAATCTTGAAAAGAAAATCTTAAAAAAAAGGGGGGGGTGCGGAACTAGTGCCAACTGTTTGGTTTACTACAGATGCTCCATGTTTGGCCATTTTCCTCTCCCAATCCACAAGGGTGGGCCAGAGCCAAATCTAAATTCCTTCTATGGTAACTTGAAATTGGGAGAAAGGGAGACTATAGTGCCACCTATGTTACATAGGTGTGGGTCTACTTTTGAATTCTGTTCCCTTTATTTGGACTGTTTATCATAGTAACAATACTACACTGTCTTAATTACGACAATTTTAAAACAAGTCTTGATATCTAGTAGAGTGAGTCTTCCCACTGTCAGAGTATTATATCATCCAGTGTTTGATCAGATAAGTAGATGCATTATTGAATGATATAAAATGATAAATTTATTATAGGGATTAGACCTAACGCATATGTAGGAACCAATGGAAAAATCTATGAAAGGCTGTTACCTGTTCATCTGGTGCTGAATCTTCAGACTGTACAAGTAAACAAGGGTAGAAGTTAGGAAGGAGAGCAGGATGTGAGGTAGAGGAGAATAAGGATGAACCCATAGGAATCAACTGGGACAACTGGATATCCATTTGGGGAGTGGGGGGAGGTGGATACTAGACTGATGAAGGGATCACTTTGTAAATTATATAAATGTCTAACCACTGTGCTATACACCCAAAAACTAATATAAAATAATATTGAATGCCAACTGTAATTAAAAGAATGTTGACCCCTAGGCCACAACACACAGAAAACGAAATACAAAATTAAATTAAATTGAATATGTTATTGATCCAAATGCCAAAGGTAAGAGAATAAAACTCCTAGAAGGTAGTATAGGAAGATAATATTTGTGACCTCAGCCTAGGAACACTGGACATAATGACAAAGGAAAAGGTTGATAAATTGGATTCATTAAAATTAATAATTTATGCTTATCATAAAATACCACTAAAAAGAGTAAGAAAGCAAGCCACAGAGTGGGAGAAATTTTTAACACATATAATTGACAAAGGGCTTGCATCCAGAGACATAAAAGTGGGGAAGACATATGAATAGAAACTTTACAAGAAAGTATATTCAGTTGGCCAATAAGAATATGAAAATATTAGTAAGGAAATTCAGAATAAAACTCATCGAGAAGATAACTAAAATTTAAGAGATAATACCAAGTGGTAGCAAGTATGTGGAGCAACAGGCATTCTCACACCCAGCTGGTGGCAGTATAAACAGAAAAACTACTTTGGAAAACAGTTTGACATTATTTACTAAAGTTTGAGACATGTATATCCAAGGACTTAGCAATTTTTTCCCTAAAGACCCAGCAGAAATGCCTGCATAAAAAGACATGTTCAGAGAAGAACTATTTTTAATAATTCCAAACTGAAAATAACCCAACAATAGAGAAATAAACTGCTCTAGTAACTCCATGGACTAGTACATAGCAATGAAAAAGAACAAACTACAGTTACACACAACAACTTGCAAGAATCTCACAAGTGTTGAGTGGAAGAAGTCAGGCACAAAATAATACTGTATTATTCCATTTTTAAAAGTACAGAAACAGGCAAAATTGATCTCTGCCATTGAAGTCAGGTTAGGGTTATCTTTGGGGGAGGTAATAACTGGAAGGTGGAGCATAAGGAAGGGCTTCTGATTGCTGGTAAAGTGCAGTATATTGATCCAGGTACTGGATACATGGGGGTGTTCATTGTGTGAACATTCAGCATGCTATATGCACTTATGGTATGTGAACTTTTCTGTATGGGTATTTTTCTTCAATAAAAAGTTTTTAAAAAAAAAAAATAACAGAGAGGGCTAAACTTAATGCATAGGGATGCATGCTCAGGTCATGCCTTTATATAGGAAAACAAGAAAGTGATTATCATCAAACTCAGGTTTGGGGTGGCAACTGGAGGAGGCAGGAAGGAGCTTTTGGGGTCCTTGCAATGTCCATGCCTTGATTTGGTTGTGGTTATTTAGATGTTTACTTTATGATAATACATTGAGCTGTCAAACAGTTTGAATAGCTCCCTGTCCTCACCGTCCCCACACTCCCCACTCCCCTTGTTCTGTTCTCCCAGCGACCACTTTAAACACTTTTAACTGTTAGTATTTACTGGCATTTTCTTCTATATTTCTAAATAATATATATAACTACCAGCTCTTTAGTCACAAAATTTAGATATTATTTATTGACTCAAAAACTTGAAAATGTAGGCTTTTTAGCTTTCTTACTCCCTTCTCCTCCTACGATACTCTAATTAGAATTATTTGGTTAATTATATAATAGAGTTTTTTGTTTATTTTTAAACAGCTTTATTGAGATATAATTCATATACCATACAGTTCACCCACTCTATACAGTTCAATGGTTATTGCATATTACATTTTTTTTAATTGTGGTAAAAATATATAACATAAATTTGCCATTTTAACTATTTTCAAGTGTATAAATCAGTGGCATTAATTTCATTCACAAATGTTGTACAAACATTTTCCACTATTTCCAAAACTTTTTCATTATACCAATCAAAAACTCTGTAATCATTAAGCAATAACTCCCCATTTTCCCTTGCCTCAGGCCCTAGTAACCTCTACTTATCTATTCTAGTTAACTTATATAAGGGGAATTATACAATATTTGTCTTTTTGCATCTAGCTTAATTAAATCATTTAGCGTAATGTCTCCAACGTTCACCTGTGTTATAGCATACATCAAACTCCATTCCTTTTAATGGCTGAATAATATTCTCTTGTACATATGGATCACAGTTTGTTATTCATTCATCTGTTGATGGAGACTTGGGTTGTTGCCACTTTTTGGCTATGCAATAAACACTGGCATACAGGTATCTGTTCGAGTCTCTGCTTTCACTTCCTTTGGACATATGCCTAGGATGGAACTGCTGGATCATATGGGAATTCGAAGTTTAGCCAAACCATTTTCAATAGCAGCTGTACCATTTTACATCACCATCCTAGCAATGTACAAGGGTTTCAGTTTCTCCACATCCTCCCCAGCATTTATTTTCCATTTTTTGAAATAATAGCTAACCTAAAGGGTGTGAAATGGTATCTCAACCATCAATCTCACATTGTGGTTTTGATTTGTATTTATCTAATGACTAATGAGATTGAGCCTCTTTTCCTGTGCTTGTCGGCTATTTATTTGTATATCCATAAGCTCCAAGTCAGTGTCCTTTCCCAGCTCTCTGAAGCCATTTCAGACTGACTTGGGAGGTTATCCTGTTCTCCCTATAAAGCCTCATATGTAATAAACATTTCTGTATCCTCTTGGAGAGCATGTAGCCTTATCAGTCTTGACATACGAACCATATTTTAGGGAGGTTGTGTCTATCCCACTTCTAAAGGGTGATCTCAGTGCTTTGCTAGGACAACTGTTATGTCATCTAGAGCTAATTTAGCCTGACTATTAAGGCAATGTCCTTCTGAGCAGCCTAGCTAATCTCCCATATATTAAAAGGTCTTTCACTCTCATTGGTGGGAACACAAACTATGTGAGCTCCAGGAATTATTCAGCCTACTTCTTTCCTCTGGTCTTGTATAGCTTCCTCTTATGTGTTTACAGATCAATCCTCTGGCCTACTCACAGAGACCCTCTGCAGATCTCCAGGCTTCTCTCTTTGTGCAGCTTCCTCCTCTAAGGTATTCTGCAGTACAAATTCTAGCTGCTTTGGCCTTCCCAAAAGCTAATTGTTTTTTCTCTTCAACTCAGCAACACCATTGCATTCTGAGTTGAGGTTCCGCACCTTTCCTCCCACTCCCACACTGCAGCGTGGAAGATATCTCTCGGCAATAAGCTACTACAATCATAGGACTCACATCATTAATTTCCCTTTCATCTGGGATCGCAGTCCTGCACCACCCATTGTCTAATGTCTGAAAAACATTGTTTTATAGTTTGTCAACGGTTCTATTTAATTTACAGAAAGGTAAATATGGCCCCTGTTTTGCCATCATGGTTGGAAGCGGAAGTTCTGTTGAGGTATTCCTCACAAACAATAATATCTGTAAATGTTCCAAGTATACTTGACAAAAATATGAAATTTTCCAATTGTTGGATATAGAACTATATACATGTCCATTAGGTCAAGTTCATTAATTGTGTTAAAATCTTTTATATCCTTGCTAGGTTTTTTTCTTGACCTATTTGTAACCATAACATTGTGTTGAAATCTTCTACTGTGATGGTGTACTTATCAGTTTCTCTCTATAGCTCTAGGAATTTATATACCATAAAATTAACAATTTAAGCGAATAATTCAGTGGTATTTAGTACATTCATGATGTTGCACAACCACCACCTCTAGTTCCAGAACATTTTAATCATCCTAAAAGGAAATCCTATACCCATTTGGTGGTTGCTCCCATACTCTCATTCCCCCTAAGCACCAATCTGCTTTCTATCTCTATACATTTACCTATTCTGAGTATTTC